GAGGGAATCACTATTGCATAATGACAACTAATTGTTCTGAAAGCTTCAACGGTGTACTTAAGGGGGCTCGAGCAATGCCCATACATGCGTTGGTTACGAGGACATTTTATAGACTAAATCATTATTTTGTTAAGTGGCGAGAGGATGGAGCAAATTTGGGGACGTTGTTGACACCAAAAAATGAAGAGATTGTGTGAGCTCGTGTCAAGCAGGCGAGATTGACTAAGATTATTAGATTTTCTATAGATGAATGGTAGGTTACAGACAATCACAGTCATAATTACACCGTCAATTTACGAGGGACACAATGCGCATGCACATGTAACATGCCAGAATTGCAAAAATTGCCATGTTCACATGTGATAGCGGTTACGACCAAGCAATTTGGGGGTGCAAATACATCGTATTACACATACGCTTCTGAGTGGTATCAATCAAGCCACTATAGAGATTCATACAATCGGTGCTTTTATCCCATTATAGATAGTCGTTACTGGCCACCCTACAACGGGTCACATGTGTTACCTCCTACATATAAGAGACAAGTCGGACGCCAGAGATCAACATGCATAAAAGGTACGATGGATGATGGTCGGGAAGGAGCTAAAAAAAAGGTGTGGACATTGCAGACAACCGGGCCACGGGAGATCTCATTGTCCTACCAATCCAAATAAATAACAATTAATCAGTACACTTTATTTTAATTTTATCCCAATTCATTTATAAGTTAATGATTATATACAAAATCCGTACTTTTATTCTTGCATACATCATAGCACTCACACATTTATATCATCATATGTATAGGTATGGAGGCACGTCCATTGACGTATGAGGTCCTTTATGACCAAGAGCAGCATCAATCCGCGAAGATAAACTCTAGGGAGGTAAATTACATTGGTAGTTGTAAATCATATCAATTATTCTAAGTTATTGATTGTTACTGAACATTTGCACTGTTCAATGTATGCAGGCCCCGAGCATTACTATCGTTGATCATACTCGTGCACATTCGAGCTGCAACTTGACGGACCCACGGTCCAATTTTATGTCCGTCAAGCAGGCTTCTTTGAGTGCTCACAAATTAAATGGGTAAGACTTGATTGGGCTCTCTTGACGACACTGATTGAACGATGGAGGCCCGAGACAAATACATTCCACCTGCGCCAAGGAGAGTTGACGATTACATTGTAGGATGTTAGGGTTTTGCTTGGACTCAGAATGGATGCAGATGTTGTTACGGGTAGCGACGACTTTAATTGGTCTGGGAAGTGCGAAGAATTGCTGGGTCAAGTTCCTTACATGAATGGTGGTAAGATCAAGCTTGAATGGTTGAGAAACAATTACATGAATGTACTGATCGATGCAACTGAGGAGATCACCAAGATGTATGTCCGTGCATACATACTTCATATGATCGGTACTATTCTTTTTTTGGATTCCACAAAGGATTCGGTGCACGTGAGGTGGTTTCCACTCCTGGAGGATCTTGAGGACTGTGGAGAATTATCATGGGGGAGTGTCGTGTTAGCGTATTTGTACAGGGAGATGACCAAAGTGGCACTTGTTCAAAACAAAGAATTTAAGGGTTGTCTCACTCTGCTACAGATATGGTCTTGGGAGAGATTGCACTTGGGTTGCCCAGATTTGAGGAAGACTCGTGCTCTCGATGGCCATATTCCGTTAGGCTTCAGGTATTACTAAGTTATTTTGTAATATATATGATTACATGTAATTTTATATATTTATTTTAATCTATACTAACCCATTGTATATAAAATAGATGGAATATGTTCAGATCTTGGTATACCTCACCAAAGGGCCATGAAAACTTCTACAGGAACGAGCTTGATCAAATGGAGGATGAATAGGTATTAAATCATAATATCTAAATATATTCAATCATTACATTACTTATTACTGATATATGCTTTACTTAATCTTTTTATAGGTCAAGTGGATGCCATATGAACTAGCTTTGGAGTCACTGCCAGATATTTGCAGGGAAGGTGAGGATGTATGGCGTGCTCGCGTCCCGATCATATGTTTTGAGATTGTTGAGATGCACGTGCCCGACCGTGTGCTCCGATAATTTAGGCTACAACAACATATTCCAGTCCATGTAGAGAGAATAGAGCGAAATCCCAGAAAAGATACACATCATGCAAATTGGGAATTAATAACTGGTGCTTACATCAGGAGGTGGGAGTTGAGGGAGGAACAGGTAGTGATGGAGAGGGCTGACGCACCTGACCTAGTTGTGTATTTGCGGTGGTATAGGGGATTACTCACGGGTGGATATTTCAGGAGAACAAAGCCCCTAAGGAGTACATACCAAGAGGCCCGGTTGAGAGAGAGATGAAAGTGTATAACCAAAATATACAGTTATTTTGTGAGTTTTATATTATTACAATCCATTTGATAATAATTTTCTTTCGATTTTTATCTTATAGGTACAAGAGCTCGAAGAGCTTTCTACTATGGCACATGATGCATTGGGAACGACTACCGAGCGAGAGCCGATGAACACGTTCCTTCGCATGATAATAAGGATTCGGTCCATTCTTCAGAGGACGTGTAATGCAAGACGTGATGGACGTGAGGAGCGACCAATTGAGTACGGGCGTTGACGGTTCCGAGGACACACTGGGGCAGGCTCAAGCCGTGCACATGATGAAGCTGACGGCTCACAGCAGGCTCAACCCGAATGTTCACAGTCGGTTCGAGTCGACGAGGATGTCATGCACTCCCAACTTCATACACAACCGGACGAGGATCTCATCCAAGCTCACATCGAAGGTAAACGAGGAAGGGGGAGAGGAAGAAGAGGGAGAGGGAGAGGGACAAGAAAGGGAGTTGTAAATATTTGTTAAGTTTCGATATACTTGATAGGATTTTTTACGTTTGAAACTGAATATTATGTATCCGGTTGAGTATTGATTATTAGTATGTGAATTGCATGGTATGTATCCGATTGAATATGGATTTTTAGTAAGTGAAATGAATGTTTGTGATTATGGATTGGTATGTGTGTTATTTGTGATTGCGATTGCATTGTAGATTGATAAATGTGTATCATTAGTTGGTGGATTGATATGTACTAACAGGAGTTTGATTTTCCAGCTGAAAGTGGGAAGAGCTCTGCAAAATAGTCGAGGTTGGAAACCCCGACCATTTTGTGCACCTACACGAAATGGTCGGGGTTAGGAACCCCGACCATTTTGTGCACCTACACGAAATGGTTGGGGTTTCCAGCCCCGATCATTTTGCCTTAGCCAACTTTTGCTGCAAAAGTCTCTGCTAAATGATCGGGGTTTGGGAACCCCAACCAATTCGATAGCCCCCAACTAATTCGATAGCCCGCTATCGAATTGGTCGGGGTTCCAAACCCCGACAAATTAGATAGCGGGCTAAATTAGTCGGGGTTGGCAAAATTAGTCGGGGGTTGCCAACCCCGACTAATTTAGCCTGTATTTTACGTGGGGCTTCCAAGATAGTTGGGGTTGGCAACCCCAACTATTTAGAGACGAGATTAAAACACCGACCCATTTCGTGGCTACGCTGCTGACGTGACCACGAAATGGGTCGGTTTGTGTAAATAAAATAGGAGTGGGTCTGATTTTTCAATAAAAAATTTAATAGGTTTATTTTAAAAAATTCTATATTATATCCACGTCTATTCTCTAATCAAAATCAAATATAAGGATACGTTTCGACAGGGAAAACTCATATTTAATATCTATTAGAACCAAACATGGATACAGATAGAGCAGCGTTAGAAAAACATTTCATGGATATATATTTTTGGTTATAAAGGAAATGAGCAAGATTCGAAACTGTATGGATCATATGATGAGAAATCTAGCTACCACAAAATCTATGGAATCGAAATCCACAAAGGTACGTACACTAAAATAAAAAGAAAATAATTCCGGTCGTTGTTATCCGTATACTTGGTTATGACAACTGGAAACACTAACAGATACTTGTATCATTTATAAATATCACAGGCAACTCATTTTATTAGTGATATGCATGTTCATCAAATGTGGAAAATAAATTAAATAAGCCAGCATGAGCCATCAATCGCACAAAGTCTCTCTGATTCTAAAGAGAATATACATATAGGAATATGTTGTGATGAGAAATGAAAATAAGAAAAGTGGTACATATGAGGTCAAAATATTGTTAAAACAATACTTAAAAAACACAGTACAACCAAGCGTTATACATTGTAGTTACTAGTTCCATCCAAGACGAGCTAAACTACACTTTCAGAAAACTACATGTAAACCCCATATCATCCCATATATCATTTCATCACTTGGTAAACGAGAAAGCGATACATATATAAACCGCATATCATCCTAAATTGTGACGATGAGCACACAACCTGTACGTATCTTGCCTGAACCATGAACATAGAATGATAAATATAAGCATGACAAAAACACAATTTATCAAAAATTACCTTATAAATAGGTAAAGCTCCATCACCAGGGATACTGCAAAAAACTGTCTGTTGAAATAGTAAAGCATAAAAATGAAATAAAATGTCAGATTCTCGGTTTCTTTTACTCTTTTGCATCATCCAACAAAACAACAGAGAGGAAAGCTTCCTCCCACTGAATTTTCATCTTCCATCAACCAAAAAAAACCCATTTCTCAGATGATATACATCAGCAGTAACACTCATGTCCAAATATAATAGAAAACATTTTAGATATAAAGAGCAACTGCAATTCTATATAAACTTTGTAAAATCTTTAAGTTTTCTATGTTCCGGGGAGAAACTTCTGATGCCCAAGGATGGCGACCCGTTTCTCAACCTGTTTCCATAACTAACTATATTAACTGCAACAAAAGGTATAATAAAGTTTATGAACTCAAAGTCTATATATAACTTTGCTCCTTTATAGGTTTCAAAAACAAAAGCTTTTGCAAATTTTGTTGACTTTCTGAAGCAGCTGGAAACCATATATCTCAAAATAACCCGAAGCTCCTCTAGTTGCAACTCAGACTCCGAAGTAGCTGCAGGCACAAAAATTAAGATAGAATCACACATTACCTTATAAAATAAAAATAAAAAAAGCACTCAGGCACAAAATGATAAGTTTTCTTTTAACATTTCACATATTTTGCATGTCTTTCTCACTTATTGTTAGACAAAGAAAGGGTGCTGCTCCACTAAGTAATAGGGAACTGGATTTGATATTACTACAGTGCCTGCCTTGAACAGCAAGCTTAATATCATATCTTCAAATGCGTACCAAACTATCAATGATTCTAAATGTTATAGTGATTGATCACTATGCTAACCTGCGAATGACACCAAAAGTTGGCACTTTCAATGCGCTAAGAAAATGCAGAAACCATTTCCAAACACTCTATGCCACAGATAATAAACAATACAACTGAAATAAATGCGTACTACATTATTGACGAAAATGGTTATGCTTTACTAGGTAATTACAGAACTTTAGAAGTAGCGGGTATGAAATAGAAATGAAGGACAATAGGTAGGCTTGCACTGCCATAAAGCTTCTATATGATGATATTCTAGTTCTCTGCATATAAAGAATAGAACATGAATATATCTCCAGTGAGAAGATGGGAAGTGATATGAACATTTTTCCCATTGAGTACACTAGACAAAAATTGATCACTAGAAACCACAAATAAATTCCTAATAAACTCTTCACTGGCAAAATTGTATCAAAATCAACTCGAGAAGACAATGCAGCCTTCAAATAAAGTTTCTATTTTGAGGATTAATTTCGCACTGCAAGACCAAAATAAAGATTTTCCCATGAGTTTTCAACGCTTGGTCTTCCTCACGTAACCTATCTTAATGGTAATGCTGCTAAAGCTGATGGAATCAAGAAGCAAGACTTTCAAACTTCTTCTGAGACTGACATCATTTATCACTGTTCACATCCTTAAATACAAGCTTTTGAGAAGGAATAGATGACAGTTTTGCTGCTGGGATTACATTTAATCAAGAGCCACGGATGCCATCAAAAGAAAACCTTCCTATATCGAAGACCAACATCATCTATCACTATTCACATTCTTAAATACAAGCTTTTACTTTAGGAAAGACTTACAATCTTGTTTTGGATAGTGCAATTAAAACCAAACAAACTTCTTAAAATTACTGCCGAAGACATCTCACCGAACTTAACAAACTTATAACAAGGAGAACATTAGTCATCTACTGCTTTCAGACAGGTGCTTTGACATTGTAGCTTATACTGGCAAGAAACAGATGACAGGACACTGAAGGTATACTGTGCAATACCTAAAAGAACGAGAACATATTTTGAAGAAAAATGAAGTGCAAACAAAATTCAGAAGCTAAGGAAAAGGGAAACCAAAATCAGAAGCCAAATTAAACCAAATAAATTACCGCCAAAGAGTTTAAGATGCCCATCAAGCAGTTCACGTTTATCTGGTTGTACTCACCACCCTAATACCCTATGCATTTAGTTATATAATTGAGCTGTGATAGCCATGACCAAATTTCTTTCAAGAATACTAAGTTTTGAACTCATGCAGGCCATATTAAGAAGTTCTGATCTGTTTACAGTTATCAGAGCATGACTCACAGGGAATAGTGGCTGAGTTCAAGATGTAAAAACTAAAGGATCTTAAACACACTAGTTGCCAATTCATTTCACTTTTAAAAGTTCGTGAACTCTGCACTTAAAGATATCACCAGCCTAGGAATGTAGAGGCATACTGTTTTAGGAATGAAGATAATTATACATGCAAAACAAATTTCTATTTCTGGGGCCTCCTTGTAGCATAAAAGGGAGTAGCTCCTATTTCACTAGCATGCTTTCATATTGAAAATTGAAAGTAAAATTAGAAAGAAGCAATCATACATTCATGTTTTTTAGCTGGAGCCCGGAAATAATTTTGAGAAACCAATCCATATAAAGGCACTATAAACTTAACCAATGGCTAAGTGGTCCCGAAGTTGGTATCAGCAGTGTGAGTGATACGTACAAACATTTGCAAGTTTCTAGTGCAATCCATATATGCATGCCTCTCGTTCAAAAATAGCGGATATATAGTTGCGATGCTTCTTACTGCATTACAAATTCTAAGCATAAATGCTAAGGGCAATGTTCAAAAACACGGTTTTACCATACATGCAGTTCGAGAGAGCTTAACGACTAACCAAATTATGCGTCGATCAACCGGATTATGTGGAATTATACATTTTTAAACTTTTTGACATATATTTATTATTTATCATATTTAAAAATATATAAAATTCATAAAAAATAGAAATTATACTAAGCAAAAGATCAACAAACATGCAATTGAACAATCAACACCTAGTTAACTAATTAAAAATTCCATCCATACATCAAAATTAACTAGATACTCAAATAAAAGTTGTCAAATTAAACACTTAAAAACTAAAAGTTCATAAACTAAAAACAAATAATCTAGTCTTCCTCATCATCCTCATTCCATACTGAAGCCCGAGCAAACATCTTCGGGGAAGGTAGAGCTTTGGTGAGAATACGCAAACTCAGCGAGGGAAGGTGTAGCTTCGGCAAGTGTCAGCAAACGTCGATGAGGTTCAGCGAACGCCAGTGAGGTCAAAGGATTTGGGAATAACTCATAAGAAAGAGAAAGCTATCGGATTTATGGGGGAAAAACTAGGCTAGGACTCTTGTTATACTAAGTTAAGCGAGACAAGTTCGGTAACTAATGTGTTCTACCTGGAAAATTAAAGAGAAAAAACAGCCACATAAAAAGATTTTATGTGGGCACATACTCGAGAGTCAATTATGTAGCTGACCGCATAATGGAGCCTTTTTGCTCATTCTTATGTGATCCAGTCCGCATCCACATATGCGACCGATTGTGAGGCCGCATAATCCGCTTTTTAGAACACTAGCTAAGGAAATACCGATGTTCATCTTACACCGTTAAACATGTTGAAATATAGAATAAGCATAAAATAAAGGCCAAGGGCATGTATAGTCAAATCTTATTTAAATTTGTATGGTATGCAGAAAATGATGATAGACAACCTTTTAATAATTTAGGAAGCTTTGTATAATTGCTATTTTTTACTCAACATTATTCGCTCCTTACAGAAATTATATCATAGTAATAGAGTAACAATTGCAAACCACACTGCATAATAATCCTGGTTAAAAAGTAAAACATCCAAATCAGGCAATTTTTTTAAAAAATGCATAAATGACAAGATATGCATATGCACAAGAAAATCAAATCCGCTTACTTGCGCTGCTCGAAAATGCACGAAAAGAATAGCAGCAACCACATAAGAAAGTTACGCGGTCACATAATGCTAGTTTATCCACATACCATATTACCTGGGTACTATCATGAAGCCGTACCCGACATGTAACGACATGTTCCCGTACCCTACCCAAACTTCATGGACACTTCTTGGATATATGCATACATTTATTTGGACATGTATTCAATTATATGTTGTGTTTTAATTTTAAACACTTGTCATACATGTCTTGGACATATATCCTACACTTCACATCCATTTCTTCAAACTCATCAGACATGGTTTGTGTTCGTTAGCCGATACCCGATTTCAGAACCATGATGTTAAAGGTCATTTTAGTGTCTAGTTAAAGAACAAGTAATTTCCAATTTATAATAATCAATAGTTTCCAATTTATAATAATCAATAGTTTCCAATTTATAATAATCAACATAATAATAGAAACTTAAAGATATGATATGAAGTTTAATTCTAATAATACATGAATTGAAAAACAATAATGATTGTATGTGAATTATTAATTTCAATATATATGTAGCCGTATCCCCGCACCCTACATTTTTACAAATTTGCTGTCTCTCGCACTCATACCGGTACCCATACTCATTTCTATGTAACTTAGTCCACATGCAATGCATATTGAATATGTGACAGTATCAGGTCTCAATTTTGACATGGTACATGATCACTACATCACTGTGATTGTATATACGTGCTGTTAGGTGAGGTGTAAAAGTTCTAGACACTTGGTCACTTTCCTGTTCTTAGTGTTAATTCAGTAGACATTTGTTATTGTTTCATCTCCTTCAAGTGGTTCTTTATACTAGTTTTTAATCTCAATTACCATGTTTCCATTTTTTTTTCCTTTCTTCCTCTTTTTTCCCTCATTCCTCCTCAATTGGTAGACTCCATATGTATTCTACGTGGTATGCACCAAAGAATCAGATGCTTGTGTATACAACGTTCCGGAACGTTGGATTGTAGTATTGCTTCCCTTTGTCGACATGTAGAGCATGTTTGACCACGTGGATACTCAATTCATGCAACCCAACATGGAGATAGGAACCTACGTTCATATATATAATCCAACTAAAAGATGGTAACACGCGCGCGCACGAAAGGATCATTGTTTGCATGTGGATCCCACTCATCCAATCCAATCGATTCATAGTCGAGACCACCCTATAAAACCATTTTGTTGACTTTGATTTACAATATCCAAAAAAGGCCATCAAGTTTACAAAATGAATTCTCATACATAGATGCTTAAGATCAAATATTACTAAGATCAATTTTGTTAATTCGATACAAATCTTTTCCTATGATGTGCATAATGGTTATGAATATTTTGTATCCACTTAAATATTAAATTTCTAAGATTTTCCTCTATCAATCATTCAATGTGATAATATGACAATTCGAGAAAGAGGGCCCATCATATTTATACAGGTAAATGCGAATATAGCATCATTGTCTATTCTCCTATGTGGTTTCCTATTCTACATTTTCCAAGAATAAATAGTAAGTGTGCATTGTCCCAAACCCTTTTGTCCATCATACTCCCTTTAAAAGCACAAGTTCGGAAAAATCTTTCTATGATCAATATTACCCTTCACTATTTTAAATATTTTATTTATATCTTAATCTATCCTAATCATAATTATATCCTATCTTAATCCTACGTGAACTATCCATAGCTTAACAATTTAAAAAAATTATATTAATAAAATATTTAAAACAT